ACAGCTCTGGCTACGCTCACATCGGGTTTGTGTTCTCTTCCCACGGATGCTCTAGTTTTGTTTTTTTGCTGGCATACCAGGCTCTTAAGTGGGCGTAAGGAAATGTTAATATGAAGTGAAGTGTTTTTCTTTCATGCCTGTCCCTGAGCTCCCAGGCTCCATCAGAACTGGATGAAAAATGACTAAAAATGTTCATCTGCTTTCCTCCTCCCCATGTTCTTCCCTTCAGTAGATATGAAGCAATACCAAAACTGCTGTAATTTCAACAAAGCTAAAGGGAAAGCAAATTACCATATTTCTCCAACACTACTCCATTTCCCACATTAAAAAAAAAACACCTCATAGAACCCACCCTAAAACAGCTTCCTCATCCCAAAACTCTTTTTCTTTTTCCCTTCCCTTCCCTGTATGTTGAGGAAACTCATGAGTTCTGGCTACAGCAGCCAGAGACTGCAAGCTGCACTCCTGTGATGGAGATGATGCCTCTGCTCCTTACTATCTAGCATTTGACATCTGCATGGGTTTCAGCAGTAATAACCAGTCTTGGTTTCCAATCTGCAAAAAACCCTTTTAAACAAACAATCTGTCTTCTACTGTGTAAACCTGAGTTACGTAAGACTCAAACCAGTACCACGTGCTTCTCATTCATAATTGCTATAGCATCCTCCTCCCTGAGAGTGGGTCTGGCTCTCTGCTAATCTAGGTTTGCTTTAAACATCCCACCACCGTGGGTCTCTTGGGAGCCCACGTTGTTCTGGTGAGTCCTGTCTCAGTGCTCTGTCTCACAGTGTACTATAACCCAGATGTCCTTCTGTGGCCAGATGCTCTCTCTTGCTAGACTAGCATCATGCTCAGCACACACACAGAAGTTCCTTTCTTGCTGAGCCCTTAGCTGATCTCTGCTGGTGGAGTGGGAAAACTCCAAGCAAAGTGAGAAGGTAGGACCTTTGTAGGCAGCGCCATCGCTCTACGCGGAGGATTGCTAATGCTGGAGCTCTTCAAAGGACTGATGCTGTTTGCAGCAGCTGAAGGCTGTGTCTTCTTCTCCAACACTGCTGGTCACCATAAGGGCTCCTCTTCCTTAGCAAGGCACAATGTCCCCTGAAGCAATTTCCACCCACCCTTTTGCAGGGTGGGGAGTAGGGAGGGCTCAGGAGCTGTGTGGGCACACACAGGGACAGCTAGGAACTGTGAAAGCCCCCTGTCCTTGACTGCTGCTATCTGCAGCCAGTCTGCAGCTCTGAATGTTATTTCACAGGCACATTTTAAATTGCTACATGCATATGAAAAGCAGACAATAGGGCTCTCGCCTGCCAGGGACACGAATCAGGTCAGGGAAGTGAGAATAATAAAATATTGTTTAATATACTGCAATAGACACAGCAGATGTTTAACTTTCTTTCGATAAGAATGACCCCATATCATTTTATTAACTTAAGGGATGCATTAGTCTCTTCTTCAGAAGGCAGAAGAAAATACATCTATTGTACCAAAAATTAAAGAGGAAATTGAAGGAGGATGTTATCACGGCATATTTTCCCACTTCATAGTCTGCAGGACTGAGTGATGCAATAGCACAATTTTAATTACAGGCAGCTCCTGTTGAGGCTTACTCATATGTGCAAAACTAAACAAAATTATTTTGAACCCCAAATTACCCATCTTTTCCAAGAAACATGAAAATAAAGCTACTGGATTTGGCATATATTAGCTGCTGAGAAATCACGCAAAGTTTCTTAGGACTTTTCTGGTGTGTGCATAGGCAGGCCCACTACACGTGTGGACATACAGAGGTAAGATCACATATTTAGGTGACAGCTAAGAGTAGGCAGATTTCCACTGAAAGCCAGCTGCTTTCTTGGATATGGAAATTTGTAAGAATTGGGACAATGTAGGATCTGCAGAGGATGTGATTTTCTTTCACTACAGCAGGAGATACCAGGCTGTGTTGTTTGGAGCTTGAGAGCATGTTTTCTTCTCTGCTCAGTTGGGTTCACTGTGTTGGGCAGGTAATGCTGACTCTGAATGTGAGCCTCTAGGAAGCCACAGAATATGCTGGGCTTTGGGGGTCACAAGTACCCCTACTATAAAAAATGAAGCAATCGTTTGCAGGATCAGGACCTGAACTCTGGAACACATCCCTGAGGGACAAATCTCTTGCTTTAACTGCATCAACATAGAGACTTTTGCTTCAGAAAGCTGCAAGCTGGAGATGAGCTGAAAGTACTATTTTTCAAGATGCTCTAAGTGCTTCTCACATTCTGTGGAGTGTGTTTTGATGTCTTCCGCTTTTACTTCAAAAGGCTATTTGACCACATTCCAGTTTGACATCCTTATAAAAATATTTGAAGTGTTCCAGCAATATGAGAGTGCTTTGCAAAGCGTACAGCTATTTTAAATTATTGTAGCACTTCATGCTTTTATAAGTACTTGAATTTGGACAGTTTTGTATCATGTAGAACAATTTCATAATATTAGAGATCATCAAATTTGATGAGTTGGAATTTAGAAATTATGCTTGTGAGCATGCACAATGTAACTTTTGAAATTATTAAACTTTTGAAAGCCTGTAACAGCATCACTGACAGGCTTTGCCCTCTGTGGTTCCTGAGTTAAGTTAGTAGCTGTAAATGATATTAGATCCCTACACAACTGAAGTGTAGGCTACTGTAAGACAGTAAAGAGAAGAAAAATTGTGAAGGTTGAACTACTAAGACTCAAGTCTGTTGAAACAGGACTTAAGTGCTTCTCTAGATTTTTAGTATCTGTTTGGCTTCTCTACACTACAAAAATGCCTTAAAATTCAGAGTTCTGCTCATTGTATGGTGTAATCCCTTGTCGCTAATAGAAATGCTTTGTTAGCATAGCTTTACCTTTTAAACCTCCAAATAAGATAGCCAAGCAAGTCTTCTGCAGTCATCCCTAGCTTTGGACAATCTTCTACTGTGACAGAAAAGCAGCTGCCCCAAATGTATGGACAAAGCTAGAAAAAGAAGTCTCATATCTGTCATAATATGTGAAGTTGTGCATCTGTACATCTGCTTTATGCTGTCCTTTGACTGACTCCTACACTTCTCCCCACAGGTGGCAGTGTGTCCAGAATTGAGAGGACAGAGCTTATTGAATGCTTGGGGCCTCTTTCAAAGGAAAGAATAAGTGTTTAAATGTGAAGTTGCACTTCACAGGCATCACTCGGCTCTCACTCGTGTTCCTTGGCTCCAGAATTACTGCAATTGCATTATCCTCTGCCTAGCTGTGAGCAGGATCAAAGTCTGCCAACGTGTCGTCTTAATTATTTCACCCTGGGAACTTAATCCAGATTTTTCCTGTGCAGGATATTAATTTGCCAGACAACTTTAGGAAGTCGTGCTTTAACTCTGGATCACTTTGACAAATTTTACAATATGAGATTAATTAATGGGAACCCTTCCCCATATCTTAAATATCACACAGCAATCTGCCTAAGTCAGACACCAGTCCTTAGCATCTTCTTCCTCAACCCCTTCATCCTAATGCTGAGCAGAACACTGCTCTCCAGAGATGTTTAGTTTGCAGACTGGTGTATAGCATCTTACCTGACAACAAAGCCATTTGTCATTATGATCAAGTTAATAGTTACTATTACTTAAATGTGCTATTGTCATTTTGTGTTGATGCATGGTATTAACCAGTTTCTGTAGCTACAGCAGACAGAATGACTCAAGACCTTAGAGTTTCCTGAGAGTTCAGACCCAAGATAAAACAACTCTTGAAAAGGTGATGGAATAGATGGGAACAGATTGTGATGTACAGCATTAGATGTGCAGAGATAGTCGAGTATATTTCACAGCTTTCAGAAAGCATGTTATCTGTTTGAAGTTCCATCTTCAAAAGCCTAAGCAATATTTACCTTGTTTTCCCTTGTTCATTAAAGTGTTCTGTTCCCTGTCAAAAGTGATGTATGGACTCTGTTATATCTCTAAATCTCATTACTGACTAACACTTCCTAGTAAGGGGGATGAGAAGTCTTATCAGTATAATACTGTAGGTAGCTATGCACGACAGGAGGAATACAGGATTGGAGTATGTCTGCGCTGCGCTATCGCTGTGCCTGCAGTTTCTGTAGGGCAGCTCCGAGGCTGCTGGCTGGATGCTGATGACATGTGCTGTCACCTGCTCTGAAGCAGCAGAGCCAGCCTAGGATTGTCCATACCTACCTGTGCTGTAGTTCTTCCAATCCGTATCCAGCCAGCTCAGGACTGGCTACAGAAAATGCAGTGCCAGCTCAGCTGAGCACAGGCATTCCTTCACTGAAGGACATCCATTAACGTTAGGTACATCTGAACTTATTCACTGTAGGCAAATGTGCTGATAAAGGAAGCATGTTTAAAAGAGATAATAAAAATACATATAAGGGAGTATAGAATTAATCAAAGAATGGAAAGAAAAGTAAGCTTTCATCCTTCAGGGCACAAAGTGGCCACTTAAACTTCCTAACTCTTTCTGTTCTAATCATTCCTCAATACACTAGGTTATTTTACCTCCTTTTCCAAGCATTCTACAGGCACTGACAGACCGAAGGCAGTGGGATGGATTGTAATTAATTCCCGATTCTGCACAAGTAGAACTGTAATGTTTTTCATCCTCCTTTACGATTTTTTAAGTCCAAACCTTAGAGATTACTAGTCACGTAGTAAGGCTCATTTGAAAACCACTGTAAGTGGATCCAATTACTATGTAACTAGGTTTTGACAACTATTCTTTACAGACTTACACATCTATGCTGTGAATACTGTAATGGAAAAATTAATTATAAGATGGAAAGGCCTATTAAACCATATTGTGTACATGACATGAAAAAACAGCCAAAGGCCAGATTATACTGTCACTAGGCGATCTTGGCTGAAAGAATTGTTCATTGCTATTCTGAACTTAGTGCTACCTGGAGCAAAGTGTCTATTTACATACTTATCATTTAACAGCTTCTGACCTTTGTTCTCTTTTCTATTCTTTCACTGCAGTTACATCCTTCCTCTGGGGCCAGCAGGTACCACGCTCTCAGGTATGTGCTTTATTCCACCAGCACCACTGAGTGTTGGTCTATGAATTCTTCTTCCTCAGAAATGAATTTGCATCTCAAACTATTGACTATTCAAATGGAAAGCACTGCAATCTGTTTCCCTAGAGGGCTTGTCTGCACTAACATAACCTGCCCTGCATATAAACAAAATCACTAGGATAACATTTTTCAAAAAGCAATTTCAGACACAAAAAAATGTTAAGAACTCCACACATCTTTTAATACAGGTTTATTGTGAAGCTGAAAGTGCCAGCCCTGAGCAACTTTTGTTATTAAAAAAACCACAACAGAAATACTCAAAACACAAACCTCAGTGTTGACTACAGACTTTTAAAGGAAATACTGATGGATGCCTCAACTACTGTAATTAAACTCACTCCAGAGGTTTGCATAAGCTGAATAATTGAAAATATTACTCCCCTTTTCTGAGGAGGGATATTCGGTATAGACTGCGGCCACCAAGACACAAGAAAGCAGGACTTCCTCCACAATTATATCACAAATGCATTCACTTTATAATCTCAAATGAAACACTGGTTTCCAGACAGCTATTCTGCATACATAGATTATAGCTTGCATAGGCATTGTAAGGTACACACTTATTCTTTTCATAATTCTTTACAAGTAAAAGTACTGAACTTTGATCGGATACCTGGTCTCATGTTAAGCAAATACTTACTTTTCAGTGTTGTGCTTTGAATTTAAGACACCTGGAAAGTTGGAGGCTTAGAAACACCCATTGAGGGGACTCCTGTCAGATCTTTCTATTGCACTGGAACAATCTAACAAGTGAATGTAACAAAATTCAAACTGTACACTTCAAGGTATTTCATTAATGAGGTACAGTGCTCAGTCACAAAGATAATTGATTAGTCTTATTTCTGTGACTGGAGTGGAAACACTGAAAGATAAGACTGAGAGGAAGAATCAGCTAAGCCTTTGAGTCACAGAAAGGCCTTATCCCTTTGATAAGAAGTGTCAGATTAATCTTCATAAATGGTCATAATTACTTGTGCCTGGAGCTCAGCCAAGTCATTCCAAATAAAAATTAAATTATACAAGTGATTGCATGTTCAGTCTCATCTCCAGAATGTTAGAACAACTACAGCCCTACAGAAATGTGCAGACATTTTCTGTATGCTTATAACGGGGTAAAAGACATTGGCCTAAATATTGAGTATGGGAACCTAGTATTTATTTACTATCTTTTTCCTTAGATAATAGTTTCACTAAAGCTTGCCTACACAGATGTCACAGTTCCTGTTAAGATACCTAGATTATGTGGTAATCTGCAGGTTACTCTCCACTCTTCATTAAACTCAGTTTTAACTATAATTGACAGACCCCATACAGATGGGAAATCTATGAATGCTGTTGAAAAATTTTAGATTTTGGGGGGTTGGGAAAGTGAAATTAATTAAGTTCACTTACCAGCGAGGGGGTAAATACAGACACCAAAGCTGATGACCAGAAGCACACTCCTCTTGGAGGTTCTGAGAATAGTACTAGTCCTTCAGAAGAAGAAAAACTTCTAAAAGCAAAATCTTCATAAATCTAGTAGAATACTACTTAGCAGGCACAACCCCGTTCTCTCCTGTGACTATATATGCTTTGGAAATTAATGAAATAAGCATGAAACACTACAGATTGAGCCCCATATCAGCAGTACATGACTGAAACAGCATACATTCAAAAAAGAAATTATTTGGTCCCTATATGTTCCTTATGCAGCTTATATCATTTTAATATTAGGCTTTTTTAGCTCATTTTAAATAGAATATTCCAGAAAGATAGCATATGGAGCTTTTAAAACAAAGTTATAAAAGGAAACTAGCTTCTACTCATATGAGATTTTGCTTAATTATTTTCTTTAGTTATTCTAATTTTAATTCTTACTAAGTAATGCAGTAGCTGAAGCATCTCCACTGATTTATCTTGGCAAAGACAGGACAGTTTGCATACGGCTATATCATCTGACAAAACTAATAGGATGCCGGTGTACATTTAGAATCTAATAGGACTCCACTGTATCTTTAGGAAATAAAAGCTAAAGAACAAAATTTTTGTAGTATAATTTTATTCACCTAGAAACAAAGGGTCAAAAGTCACAGCATGGAAGTTCATTTTATTTTGTAAACTCATTAAAAAGATGTCCATGTACAAAAGGAGGACATTTTAACAATCTAAATGCAAAGGAAACTGTAAAAATTCAACACATTAATAAAAAGTTGAGTTTTTATTTTCTTTCTGCATAATTCCTTGCATCTTCCATACCAGCCTGCACACAATCTTAAGTACAATTGTTAGAATCATTAAAATTCCAGAGGCTGAACATAAAACCATTTGCTCTGCTAGAGGAATGTGTTGCTGAAAGATACAAACCCTGTAGCATGTTAGCTAGAAGTAAGACACAAGACTGAATGAACTGGCTGAAAGGCTTCTAAATTGTTATTGCGTATTCATCTTCTGAGAATTCAATCTCAGTTTTCTTTCTGCAAATATTTAGAATATTCCTTAGGGAAGTAACAGCGTTAGACTGAACAGTCCTTTGTCAAAAGATGTATGTTTCCATGTTGTCCTAATACATCTAATGCAGATTCAATAATAAAAGCATTTCGAAGTAAAATCATCTCAGTCCCAACAGGTGTTCATTTTGCATCAGAACTTACAGTAGCTACACAACAAGCTACTGTGACATACAATTCAGTCTTCAGTATTGGATACTCTGGAGTGCAAGTTTGGACTTAAATCCTTGAGATGCTGCCAGTGAAAGGTCAATTATAAAACTAAATTTCTTTTTAATCTGAGCTAATCTGCAGTTTAATTTTTCTCTGTTTCTACGCCCAAAATGACTCTTAGGATTGGAAATTTATTCTTGTAACCACTACTTGAGGTTTCTGTAAAATATTTTATTTCCTGTGTCCTCAATGTAGGCTTGAGAATGTTGAGAGTTTCTCTAGATCCACTGTTCTTCGTTAACCAGAGTTTTTCAATCAGCAATAATCCATGTCACATGTGACTCGTTATACTCGGTTTCCAAGTATAAGTGTCCCAACTTTCAAGAGTTAAGTAAACATCTCACGATTAACAAAGAGCAACTTGAATGCCTAGAGTTAATACACTTCCAAGATTTGTGTTTGTCCTCTGCCAGGACGTAGTGCAAGAAACAAGCCCCACCAACATAAGGCACTTACCTACGTTACACGAGGAGGGGCAGGGGCCAGAACCCTTGTAACATGCAAGTCTAGAAAAAGTCTCACTGGAGAAAACACAGGATCTTGCAGGCTCAGGGTGCGCTGCCACTTCACTGTGTGCTGCTGTAACGAAGTCTGCTCTGTAACAGATATCAGATCCTCCCGTTGGCAGCCACTTCATTAATCTTCGATTTCTGATAATCGTATTTCACAGAAACAATAAGGAAAAGCAAGAGGGTTGCTCCTTGGATAGCAGCCAGCAAAAAAAAGTAATAGTTTAATTGGCAGCCATTAATATTACCTAAAAAGAATTTGGGAGAAAAAATAAACATTAATAAAGATTATACAAATAAAAATGTCAATCCCTTCAAGCTTAAGTAGCAAAGACTTTTCCTCAAAACATGGGCAAAACCAAAACAAATCACATTTCCATCCAACAGCATAGCTGAATTTTTAATTATCTAGAGCAAAAGATGGAACTTCTGAGGAAGATGCACACAGTACAAGGATTGCTTTCTTTTGTGCTTCAATGCCTTAAGCCAAGTAATGTCCCTGAAGAAGCTCGTGTGCTGTTACTGCATGATTTCTTTCTTACAAAAAATTGCTGGAAGCTCCTCCTACTGCTGTAAGAATTTTCTGAAAACAAAGATTGCTCACATATAGCGGTAGGCAAGCTTCATAGAAGTCAACATAATTTTAAAAGGCTAATAATCTTCCTTTCTTCCCCCCTGCCCACTTGGCTCCCTGACTCCTTTTTTTATTTTCCTTCTAAGTCTGGTTTCTTACACTGCAAAATTGCAATGCTTTGCTGACTTCAGATAAAACAGCCAAAAACCTCAGTGTGTATTTTCATATATGATTTACTTTCTTCGTAACGTAAGTAATAGAGATCACGTATCAATTTTTGAGGAAACGACTCATTTCAAAAGCAAGAAAAAAAGAAATCATCCCAGTGCTGCAGCCCCTAAATGAACTTGAAAAAGAGATTTCTGCAAATAGAGCCCTGGACTGTAAATTGTTCAAAGACAGCTCCCAGTAAACACAGCATTCAAGATCGAAGCAAAGCTACACTCACACAGGCTGGTAACTTAAAGACTTTACCATCTTCACTAGATATGCTTTTAAGGACCCTGGAAAATACAGTAAAGTGACAAGGCTTTAGTCAAGAGAAAAAAAAAGAAGGTCTCTTATGTTTTACAGCTTAATTGAAACAAGTGAAAGTATGACTATTTGTTTTGGTACTATATATACTAGAGAGTCCTCTCCAGCAGCCTTTTCAGCCCTGCTTAATGCTATATGGTCTGTCTGCATCTGGAGGCCTGTACCTCCCTAGTTTGCTAAGTCAAAGATAAAATAAAAAGAATTAATAAATTAATTTTATTAAGGAAGGAGTTTGGCAACTCTGTAGATATAAAGAAAGCAATTACTGAGACTTTCTCTCAGCCTTCTTTTGCAAAAAACTTGAGATTCATGAAACTATATTTAGTTTCTTTTTTTGTTCAATTCACCTTTGACACTCCCTCAAAGTTGTTACAAATTAGTGATTTTTACCATACTAAATAATGTTAACTTAAGGAAGCTCATTGCTAAAACATTATTCCTCTATTAAGAAATGTCCACTAACTATTGCTGTACTTCCAAGAACAATATATTGTGGCTCATTTCCAACATGCCACATGAGCCACAGCCAATTGGACCATTATGATTATCAAAAAGGTTAGAGAGAGTAAAAGTAGGGAAGTATACATCGATCCTAACAAGCTGTTCATGCAGCATGCCCACAAATGTTCAAATTAAATTATTTTAATTACTGAAACTTAAAATTCAATTAAAGTAACTTATAATAAAATGCAATAAAATTAAACAGAGTCTTTCCTTGACATTTAAAATACAATATACATGTGAATCTCCATTTCAAGAGCAGAAGTGTTTAAGGAGTAGTAATTATCCTTTATGAGATGGGATATTAAACCCATGAAATCTCAGTTTTTGTCAGAGAGATAACAGTCATTTCAATGGCAGCAATCAACACTGAAGTGTCAGCAGAGACTGAACTTTCTCAGTGGATTTTGCAGAGGCAGTGAGTTACCTCAAATGATAACATGAGTTAGTGTAAATAGCAGAAACTTGCTGCACACATGTGCCTATAGTTATTACACAGCACTTAATGAAAAATTCAGAACTCATTCATTCATAAGGACTCCTCCTTATAATTCCTACCCTGGAAGACCTGAGTAAATTTTAGATATGAATTTGTTAAATTTCAATAATGTTATACAAAATGAAAATAGAGTTATAAACAGTTACTGAGTTAAACAGTAACAGTTAAAACAGCAGCTACTGTAGATGCTACAAATCAAAATCACCCACTGGGCGCTTCAACCTTGAGCCAGCCGTATTGCTGCGGAGAAGGCTCCATTGTGTATCAAGTCTTTGGACTAAGAAAGGCAGAACTATCCAGTTCTGACAGCTGTCCAGGGGACAATCCACTAAGCTGAGGAGCCTATTCAAAACAGATGACCAATGAGTCATGAAAGGTAACATCTTCTGGTTCTAGCCAACTCTGGATATATTTAGCACAACCTAAATATTATACTGAGAGAATATTAGGCACTGCCTTCTCTTAGGCTGCTTCAGAAAACAAAGGCAAGAGGCTAAAAAAACACCATCAAATATCACATATATTAATTTGTATATAATTTGTATAAAATTATTATCCTCTTATTGAGCCCTTATCAACTGAATTATCTCTAAATAGAATTGCAGGAAAAAATGCTGTTCTAGTTTTGAAATTGACTGGGGGGAAAAAAGTCTCAATTAGATTAATTTTTCAATTGGTGAGGACACTTACATAAAGTTAAGGCTGTTTGTCATGTTTTGCAGTTTTTTAAAAAACAACTTAGAAACTAAAGATGACAACTTGTGACACACGTATTGTTCCAGACAACATTACTTTTTGGTAGCATGCAAATCAAGCTTAAATGGCAAATGTTCTCATACCAAATTTAAAGTAAGTTTAGGCTGCACTTTTGAGCCATATATACATAGTAGGTCTAGCATACGTTTTAAGAACTTTTCATGCTCCTTCTGTTGGAACTAATTAGCCCACTGATGATGGTATGATTTTCTGAAATTCCCAAGGTGCCACCTACTGGTGCCAATAATTATTTTTAACTTCAACTGGCAAGACAAAGCAGATGACAGGTTGGACTTTTTTTTAAGAGTATAAATACTGAGCAGACAGAAATGCAAAATTAACTTGTGATAATTTTGATGAAGTCTCTTGAAACTAGGAAGCTGAATAATCACTAGAGAGAGATATGTATGTTTTACTCCCCATAACTGCAGAAAGTAATTTCAGTACTTAATAGCGAATATATTCTTCTTCCACACATAATTCAAATATTTTCTATTAAAATAAAAAAAATTATAAGTAATTTCTAGTGATGAAATTGAGTAATAGCTGAGCAGGTAATTGACAGGCCTTACAAAGGCAAAATAGTACATGCGTGTTTCCCATGCTTTCGTGAAGTCAATGTATCATTTTGCATAGTCACATTACTTCATACTTACATGCATGATTAAACTTTGCCTTAACAAAACAGTAGACAAATTTATATTTTTAAAATAATAACTGTGCTAAGATTTGACAGTTCCACATGCTTTACACTTAACTGCTTCTGAAGGAAGTCTTCTACTTTATAGACTATGAATACACTGAAAATAACTTACCAAAATCTGTGTGATTACTCATCCAGCCAATTTCTTTAATAGACACCAGTGCCAACAATCCAGAGCCAACAAATGATCCAATCCCCGAAAAGAAAAAAAACAGCCCCATAATAGCACTCTGCATAGATTTGGGAGCAGCTGAGTATGCAAATTCTAGACCTGTATTAAAAGATTAAAAAAAATATCTATTGGAAGATCTAAGAAACAGTGGTTCACTCTAATTTAGTGTTATAGAAGTTACAAATGTATATTACTTCTGGTATGTTAAAGACCTAAAATTAGCCTTGGATTTCAGGAGATAGGGAATTCAGGTAGTGAATCCCTATCAGTTCCCAGTTCCCTCTAATTGCTTTATGAACCCTCTTAAAGGTCATCAATATATCAACCCATTAAATGGACAACATTTGAGACACGCGCTTTGATCTTATTAATATTACATGCGTAAAATCAAGAAATCTTCTGAGGCAGCGTATTCATTTTCCTGTCTAAAATTATCCTCACAGAAATTTATTAAACTAACTCTAAGCTGGCAAGTTCCCTGTTCCCCATTTCACTTGTTTCTACATTGCCTCTCTGTTGTGCAGTATTTACAAAGCACATGGCATTCCCTGCTGAGAACAAAGTACTCGGGAACTGAAGGTCACTCTTGCATTGACCATGAACATTTATTTCACACAGGCTCTGTGTCTGTATCTCTGAATGTGCAGACAGAGAAATTAATTGCAGCTGGAAAGGCAGTAATTAGTTTTAATTTAATTTTGATCTAGAATTCTCCGAGCTCATCGCTTGCTGGCCTATTCTTTTTAAGGCTTATAAAATGGGACTTCAACTTTAAACTATCCTCACTCAAATTTCAAACAATAAATCCAAGAAAAAACTGTTACATGAATTTGAAAATCTGTGCTACTGAATTTTAGTACCAACAGAACACAGTGGGTTAGGCTCTGCCTTGCAAAGATTAATGCCCATGATTAATTCTCCTTTTAGAATAATACTCCTGTCAAAAATCAAATAGGATTAATCACAAGAGACAGTCAAATGCATTCTTTGCAGAGCTTTTTCTCTGACAGGTGAAATGCTTGTTTCAAAACAGTCTGCTTCATACTGAAAATTAACGCTACCTCACCTAACATTTTTCTTGGCAAAGAGAGCATTGTAGACCCAAAAATGGCACAAATATTATGTCTTGCATAATAAAGGTACGCTTTATTTTCACCATTACTGGTATGTGACTTCTGCTACTCCAGACAGTGTTTAATAGAAATACAGTGGCATTTCTTTTCAAGAAAAGGCTTAACACTTCAGGCCAGATAGGTCAATTTGCCTGTTGTGAGGAAGTAACTTTTTTCTTGTAAAAGAAACAGAACTATATGTTCTCACTGATCTAACAGCATTCTGCACTGCCACCTGGGAAATCTCTGATAACCAACACACTGCTTCTCTTTTCCTTTGCAAAACATGTTAGAATGGGCCAACAGCGACCTGTCTGTGATTTTAGAGGGGAACTGAAACATTCTTCGTGCAACTCAGCTGTGTGGGTTCCTGTAAATTCAAACTGTAACGAGAGAATAGCTACAGAGATGGAAAGACATCTGCAGATGGGGACGGGGAGGCAAAATTATATTTATTTTGAGAATTAAAAACTCAAAATTTTTTCCTAGGCTATGCCACTAGGATAATAATTCAGCTTTTTCAAGGAGTATTTATCTAGCCAATCTCACTTCAGAAAAAAAAAAAAAAAGGTACACTGCTCTCGGGATATAATAGCTTGGTTTTTAACCTCTTGTTAAGTTATCATAGCTACCACAAGTCTCCAAAGCATCAGTCACATTTTGGTCACCAGGCTTTTGTACATTCTGTACAAGTTTAGCTCAAGCATATAACATGTAAAGGATCTGGCCCCTTTCTTCTCTTGTTCATTTTACAGATATGCTGAATGCAAGTGTTACTGCTGGAAAAAGATCTTAGGACTCAAAACAAAAACCAAAATGGGTGTAACACCATGCACTTTTTGCAACGAATTAAGGCACGTTTCTAAACTTGAATAATGTTTCCAGCAACCCTAATATTTAATCTGCCATAAAAAATATAAAATCTTTTCTTTGCCTTCAGAGATATTTTTGCCTGCTGGCAGCCATTGATAACAATTTCATGCTACCTCAAACAAGCAGTTTTGAAATTAAACCCTCTAGTTGGTGTTGTCAAGTGAGATTATGATTCTGAGTTAAATAAGGGTGCTTTAAGAGGATTGACAGAATAATACAAAAGATAAATGCAATGTGTGTCACCTTTTTAAAGGTACCTCAAGTGTAACTAATGTGGCTTAATAAGAATATGCTCAGTTTTACAGTAAACAAAAAAACAAACCTATGTTTCTACTCTTATGATATTTAGTCCCTTTTTGTTCACAATAAACATTTCCAAATCACTATAGTTTTAGAACCATTAACGCTTTGCTTATTTTAAAGCTGAATTTCATAGCACAATAGATGCCTTTATCAACTTCTAATACCAAACCGGTTAAGTATACTCTTACTAAGTCTTGAGAGGCTTTCTTAAAGATACTAAGAATTCAGTGTAGATAACATTCAGAGGTATGAAAAAAAACTCTTCGTAAAACAAATCACATGAAAGTGTAATACATGAAGGAATTAATATCTACATAGAATTTCTGGTTCAAAGAAAAAGAAGCCTTTGCATTTTTCCTAACATTGCCCAACAGTTTTTGAAGTTATAAAGCTGTTGGTACAGATCCAGCAAGTGCAGAACAGCCAAGGATTCATGTAAGAACAGTGTAAGCCTTAAAGACTTGACTTCTCATGAAGAAGTCCACTAAAGCAATTGAAAAAGCCAACACTCAGTTTGGAGTTCAACAAAGAATGCATCAAGTCCTTGACCTTTCCACAAGCTGCAGACAGGTTTGTTATTTTATTTCTTGTGAACACCCACAGACTAGTAACAGTGCCTGACAGAGAAACAAGAATTTGTAAGAAGGAAAAAAATTATTTATTTTTGCATGAACACTTGCATTTCTGTTTATCTGAGTTCAGATTTAATTGGAACAATCCCTAAAATTGTAACTAAAGGTAACTAACTCATTTTACTCTTTTGATAAAAATACAGCCTTAGTTTTAATAAGTAACTCAATTAAAGAAGACTTCCATCTTCAGATGTTTGTGTGTTAGGATTTGTGCTGGTTACTGTTCACACATAACAAAATGTACTGTAATATAGGGCAGCAGATATGTCCTCTAGCAAAGGTTACATATATACTGCAAAATTACAACTACACATAAGACAAAGCTATATGTAAAAATAATTCCTCCAAAATACTAAATAACTATGGTAGAGTTTAATATGTGAGGGATATGTGCAATTCTTCCATTCTTTCCATGAAATCCCAGGCCAGGCAGCTGGAATAAAAGCTTACAGCAAACGAGCAGATAAAAAAAAAATCCACCCAAACCAACATTTTCTTCTACTTGCTAACCAATCCAACCACCTTGTTTTATTTCCTAACAACGTAACCAGAAACTAGATGGAGTAGAAATTCTCTCTTCCACTAAGAGGGGAACAAATGGGCCATGTGACAGCTGGGGCTACCGCCAGCAAGATCTTACAGAATTACAGAATCTCATTTTAACCCACTGTGCCTGCCTAGCGTGAGGAATGAAAGTAACCTCCCACAGGGGAAATGAAACCAGGAAATCCTGTCATAAGGAATTGAAGAAAAAGAGCTGTATGTAATGCCAGCTGGAATGGATGATCTTCAAAGTTCAATATTCTAAAATAGTATTTCATCACATTAATGAGTAACTATAGTTAAGCAAATACTAAATGATTTTTAAATCAAGTCATTGAAGGAGTTCTAATATGTTACATCAGGTAGATCTGCAATTCTATTTAAGTTGTATTAGAATAGCTACTTCTATGATCATGAAATGTTTCTGTTACTGGTAACTAAGCATTGCTCCCAAGCACTAGATACCTAAACGCTGATTCACAGTAGCATTTCACTTGTTTAATCATAGTAAACCAGTGTTAGGCATACCACAGTGACAATAGATAAATTGCCTGTGCTTTCTTCCTGCTAATGAGCACTGCACGTATACGAAACAGAGCAGAAAATAAGATTTTATACTCCTATTCACCCTCTCCTCCCACTTCACTTTCAGCTTAAAAATCAATATGATCACACAGCTGTCCACTGCATCACACAGAACAGTATTAAGAAATGTAATATCTCTTGCATTTGTTCAAGAAAGGCAAGATTTGAAATGTTTCAGTTTGCCTGGTATCACATTGAATTACTAAAACTATAGAAAAAATGATCTATAAGCAGATAGAAATGTATGAAAAATAGGTACTTCATTATTAATATTTGCAAAAAACCTAGTTTAGATTGTCACATAACTTGTCTTCTTTCAGAGATGTAAAAACTCAAGCAAAATGAATATAAACTGGTGATAAATCTTTCTAAAGATGGTTTATTTCCTACTTTTTCCCTCAGAAAGGTGTTTGCACTTGCTCGTTGACTTTCTAAACTGTTAGCTCAGTTTTTAAGCCAAAAAATGACAATGCACAGATTTTATTTGCAACACAGAGGAAGATTCAGAGGAAACAAAACTGCATTAAAACTATTATTGAAAATACAATATTGAAAGTGGGTATTGTTTTCCATTAGGGGTTGCAAATATCCAGCAAAAACAGGATGACATGCAAATATTTAGATGTTGATCTGCTTGAAATTCAGTCTTGAAAACATATTCTTATATAGCCAATTTTCAAATGTGAAAGGTGATTGTGTGCTTTGCCACTTATATTAAGTTATATAATACAATATTTTATCTGGGAACATTAGAGCTTATTTATAATCATTTGAGAAGTAAGTATTTCTTTTCTAAGAATCCATCATTCATATCCATAGATATTAAAGCAGAATTGATACACACAAAGACTCTTACCTGCTATACTTGCAAATATTTCACTGAATCCAATAAGCACATATTGAGGAATCTGCCACCATATTGGCAAATCTGCAGCATGGTATGTAACATTTCCAATTGTCTGATTAATTGTTTTAACCTTTACAATTTTCAGTCTGTTGCTTTCCAGAATTCCTACATGGAGGGGGGGGAAAAAGATTGACCTAAGATGCAAATACCATTTCTTCATTTTAAGAATTAAATTAGGATTCAATCCTGCATTGCAATTACAAATTATAAAATAGAAATATTTTATAATATTATAAATATATAAAATATATAAAATTAATATATAAAACAGGACTACTTTTGCTATTGTTATTTCAAGACATACAGTTCTTCCACCATAAAATTAGTGATTATATTCTTATTCAGTAGCAATAATCATACAAATACTTAACCCTTTTCCAAATGGAGAGCTTTCTCATACAAATGATATTGGGGTTTTTTTTAAAGACAATCTCGTTTTCACAAACTACTACTTTACTGTGTTGAACCATTGCATCTGCCACCATAAAATTAATAAATTAGAAACCATTCTGCATATCAAAATGGCTACACTAGTCCTGTAGAACTATGAAAACCATCTACTAATATGATCATGACATTTATATGACACTTATTATCCCAAGAGATCCAAAAGCTCATTAGAGCTTGATTTACAAGTAGTACACTGCATAGAAAGCACCTCATGTAGAAAGAAAAACAGACATGATAGTGCAAAATACAACATTTTTAAGCTTGCTCAACACAACAGTTTAGAGTAGAGAGTGAATATCAAATACAGCTGTTGGGTTTTGTTGGAGTTGCCCAGATTAAAGGATTTGCCTCACTGTTACATAAAATGTCAGCCAAGAACTCAGTAATTTCATTCATATATATTTAACAAAAAATTATTGCACCTCAAAACATTTAGTGATCCTTAATGTGTTTGATACTCTTCCCAACATAAGCAGATTTAGGAGGCATTTAGGCACACAGGAGCATAACTACCATACACCAAACTTTGCTATAAATTTATATTCAAATCCGAGTATTTCAGAATCTAGAATGTATTGATTCTTTCTTAGACTTTGATAGACAAGCTTCAAGTTTAATCGTACAGTTTTAGTAGTTAAAAGAATCTTAACTTCTTGCTGTAATTGTTTAAACTCTATAAATGAAGTAGATTTTCCAGCTGAATAACCTTAAATACTGCTGCTCAGAATTTACGATAAAATGCATGAAGCACAGCAGATGTTCATTAAATCTAATCAGTTGTATTCTCACACAGTTTATAAGATATTTAAAATAATCTAAACAATCTAATAGGCAGCCTAAATAGTGTCCAGAACTAATGCCAGTTAGATAAGTTAAAATGGACATATGGCACAAACAAATCATTAAGATACTTCCAACATCAGAAGTTAAGATATTAACATCTTCATTCATTTAAGAATTTAATCAGTATCTCTCTCTAAGGCAGAAATGGTTGGAAGTAACGTTGTATTTTAAGAATATTAAAATATAGCTTCTATAAATATCACTTAATAAGAAAATAAAAATTTTATGAAACACATAAACCATGATGGAAGCTTTCCATCCTGCTAGAAATAAACAGTTTCCTATGCCCTAAATTTGTCTTAAATTCATATTATGATGGCAGGATGTTAGGTTACTTCAAAACGTTAAACTTTCCAACCAAATCGCAGGTAACCACCCAAAGAATTCACCTTCTCCTTTCTATTGTGGAAAAGTTAGGGAAGGATCAAACCAACAAAATAATGCACTATATTTGTAGGTGAATAGAAAACAAGGCATTTGAAATTTTTAAGAATTCTGCTACATGAAACTATTCACCAACTCAGCTATCATAGTTCAAAATGCCTTTTTCCTCAGTACTAATAAGCACAGATATTGCTGGTTTTGAATTCACTTATATGTGAGCCAGCAGGTTCTATTTAAAGAACTGACATTTAACTGTTTTACATTATCATCTTTTGCTGGTAGCAGTGTCCTAAGTAACATGGAATAAGAGAAACATTCCTATTTTAAGTTTAAATGACTTTGCTTTAAGAACTTTACTTGTGCACATACAAAGTGACCTTGGCCTAATAAGGTAATTATCTCTCTCATTGAGAGAAATCTTAATAGCCGTATAAAGTGTCTCTTTCTCTAAAATATAGGAGAGTACAAGTGCTGAAATTAATTTATTTAATGCTATAATGCTTTATCAATATGTTCATTACAGTGATAGTAGGTGAAGGCTATAGGTTCTATGAAGCATTGCTCAGAGCTGTTCAGTTCCACATCAGCAGTGCTTAACAACTTTAAATCATTTCAAAAGCAGCTGATTTATGGTTTGAACAGAGTTGCCATCTTTTTCCTTTCACTCTATGGCTAAGCTATTTTACACTACAGTAATTCCCAAACATTAAGGAACATTAAGGTAGGGGAGAAAAAACCCAAAGTGGGAGGAAACTCTTGTTCAGCCATATCCTAACTTTATTATTTCAGATAAAGGGAAAGAATTTTAGGTAAAATTTCACTTTTTAAATAATTGGAAGCCAGACTATATAATGGAACATACTTATTTCCGACCTAATTTTTTTTTCAGGATAAATAAATTTTCAGCTTCAAGATAAATGGTTAATAAATCATATAACATGGACTTCCACAGTACCGTCAAGTTTATTTTAGGAGAACTAACAAGCCTTATATGCAAATGCTGGATGCTTTGTTCAGGCAACCCAAAACCTGATCATGAACCTGAGACATTTGTTGAGAAAATATGGTCAGAAAACAAGCATACTAAACAGTAACATTGTATGTGGAAACCTTAACTAAAAAGCTGGTTTTAAAAGGCATACTTGAATGCTGTTTCAGGCAGGAAAAGTGGTCCAATTTTATCACAAACATTCCAAACAGTTTAGTAAGTTTTTGGATAAAATCTCTTCCATTGTGGGAAATGGATCCAGGCAGTTGCATTCTAACTATCCCATGAAAAACCTTCAGAATAATCTTGAATTAAAGATTCAGAAGGGTTGATTCTGAATGCCGTTCTCAGTAGCTGAATAAATACCCATAAAAGTAGATCTCAAAGTTGCTTTTCTTACCTGCAGCAAACGCAGAACACATTACAAAGAACATGCCAACCGCAATCCTCTTCAGTGAGGACGGGAGCAAGCCATTCCTTTTTAAAATGGGGTCCACCAATTTATCTTTTAAAGGTATTAGGATCAGAATAAGCACTGCATCAAACATAGTCAACCAGGCTGCTGGAAACTGAAAGGATAGATGACTTAAGTTGGCAATTTCATTCTTAAGGACTGATATTTACTGTTATTTAACAAAGGAAAAAACATTTTCTGTGAAACACTGTGATCCAAAACAAACCACAGTGCACTGATAGACACTGCGAAAATAAGAGTGTGTAAAAGCTCACTCAGCTTTTAGTGAAACACTAAGAAACACTCAGCTATTCAGGTTTTCATTTAATTTAGCAGTTCATAATTCTGTTAGCTCAGAAGCACAAACGGTTTCTCACCATAGTAACTCCAACAGTATTGCATATTCTGACTTTCAAGATGCACCTCCAACTGTGCTGAGATGGGTGTTGGTTTGTGGGATTTTTTGGGGGGTGGAGGGGATAGGAGCTTTCCACTGGAACTGAAGAACATCAAGTGTTCAGAGCAAAAAGGTTCTTTATGCAAAAGCAAATAACACTGCACATAGTTCCAAGGAAAATGAGGAGTAAGAAATTACTGGGCAGATGAAGAGAGTACTCTAAGAAAACAAAATGCAGAATATAGCAAAGACTCGTTGCAAAGGATGTTGGTTTTTTTTTTTATGATTTCTAAGTTTCAGAGGGCTCATATTTTAGGTCCTTACTCTGAATTAATTTTTGTTAAAAGTTAACTATACAAGTAAAACTATTAATTCCTTTTGAAAGATGAGATCGCCATTAACATTATTGCAATATCTGAATTTTTCTGTATACATCCTGAAATATGTTTAATGGAAAAAAAAAATCACTGTCCTTAGGGAGCTTTTCTGCTATTAAGATTCTTTTAGTCATAGAATACCTGTCTGAGGAATGATTGATTGTGCCACCCAAATCTAGTAAACAAAACTCAAAACATCTCAAGATACATTTTTAAAAGCGTTATTTTAAAAGTCTAATATTAATCGCACACAGGTCAGGAAGTGATTTACTGCCATTAAATAGGCACTGTTATTGTGCTTCCAGTGATACAGTCTAGTCTGGCAGAATTACACTTTTTTCCTATTTCACTCATGAAAAGTATTTAATAGCCAGGTTCTGCAGATCCTCTATTATTAGGCTTAGAACTTTCAGAAACATGCCACAGAACAGTAGAAATGGAGTTTTACTAATGTAATACAAAATTCATTTAAAATTAAATTACACTTGTCAAATGAACAAAGAATATTGTGCAAAACATGCATCCTTTCTCATTTGCAATATTCCGTAATGACAATAAGAATCCCATCTGTATGAATGAGACAATTTCTACCAAGTTTAATAATATTTAGCATCTGTTCTGAGCTAACCAACCAAGACAGTACAGGGGTATTTATTAAAATGTTCTGGTTTGGGGATATTTCTTAAAATTGTGTTTAGAACAGTATGATACTATACTATGCATCACACTGTCTCTTTCACCCAAAATACAAGCACTGCTTGATCTCTGTGTTTCAGATACAGATATGGTTACATTCATACTTTTTATTTTTATTTCTCAGTACCACCTCTGCAATTACGTGACGCCAGCCTTTCTTGAAAAATATTGATTGAACAACTTCCTTCAATACACTAAACTGATTCAAGGTAAGGTGAATATTGATTAAGCTGTATGAAGTTACAAATGTATCTCAGATTCCAAATTTGCTAATGCTAATGTTCGGTTAAGTATGGGTATTCCTACTGAGTTTGTAGGAATGCTTCTGTACTACTTACAACTTTGAAAACTTAGGGCATAGAGATTTATAAGATTTCTTCAAAGATCCTTCTGCTGAAGGATAAAGACACTTAATTAAAGCAGTGAAAATTATCTGAATACATTCAAAACAGGATGATGTGAATTTGATATATGGGTAGATATGCCAAAATCTCTGTATGATGCATCGTGCTTCTAAATGCCTAATGTCTGTGGCCATCAATTCTCTTTAGTCACTACCTTAACTTCCTGGAATTTTTGTACCATACTTACCTATTTTGCATCTCAACTAAAGAAAACATACTTTTCACATGTTTTGTCCTACTTACCGTATGAATAGAGTTGGTGTCATTTGATATTTCAGGAATTTTCAGATGGAGACTTTGCAATACGTAAGTTGTCTGCATCTAGTGTTAGGAAAGATGAGTTGAGATTACTTGGACAAGGAGTACTGAGAGCAAAATATTTTTACTTTTTTAATAATTAACAAAGATTATATTATATTTAAGATATATTAATTTGTACGTCTGTTAGTTCTATTGTTTTAATGATTTTATTTTATTTTTTATTATTAAGTCAAAATACAGAGGTGAAGTGCTAATATAGCAAAACAAAAAGAACTCTTCTTAAAAAAAGCTTGCAGTGTTCCAACCCCGACATTTAATTTTACTAAGAGCACAAAGAATCATTCACGTGACTTTAAGAACAATTTCTGCTTTTCTTTCCCCCTCAAACATATTTCCTAATTCATCTCACTAAGACAGAAAACTAGAAAGATATTAATTAAAATGAAATCTCGGCCATTTACCCTGAACTATCTGAATCAACTGCAAGATGAAACAGGGTGCAATATTTAAGATATATTAATTTGTACATCTGTTAGTTCTATTGTTTTAATTATTTTATTTTTTATTATTAAGTCAAAATATTATTTGAAAGTATTCTTAGTAGCCATTTTTCATCTCTCAGTGACAGGATAAGTTTCATATTTATGAAAAAGTCCTCAGAAAAATGTGAAATTAGATACTTTGGCATACTGGTAAGCTAATACAGCTTTCCACAAAAATTTTTCTAGCAAATAAAAAATGTCAGAAGAAGCTGGCATCACACATTAGTATTTTTGCTAACATAGTATTATTAAAATTATTTTTAACCCCAGGGGTGTGAAATAAAAGTAGTTAACATTAAAACATGGGTCAAGTCAAACAGTCAATACCAGAGTTCTAAAAATTCCTCTTCAATATTCATCTTCTCTAGAATCAGAGCTACTGAATACTAGCTGTACATTAACCTTATAGAACAGTTTCCCCAAAAAAGCTTTTGTGTCTTTCCTCCAGGTAACTGCTCTGAGGGGTTAATATTCAGACCTGCAATGTGAAGCTAGAGCCCCAATACCTTTGAAATGCACTGGGAGAAGTGGAAGTTAGGGTTCTTACATTAGAAATTATGGGGTTTAGACCTGTAATAGAAATCATATGGAACTACTCACTTGAAAATACACTGTCCAGTAAGGTATTAAAGCCAAAAAGACAGGGATAATCTTGACAAGAGCTTTCACATCTTCTACTTTGTCTTCTCTGAATGGGCCCCCACGAGACATCTTGGCCATCTCAAACAGGCTTTGCTTGTGAGGTTGCTGAAGTACTCCCTGGCCTTCGCTTTTGAAAAGAATTTCAAATGTTTAGTTAAATAACAAGAAGAACTGACTTAAATGGCAATCTTGTGGCATTTCTTTTCTTTACAAAAAGCTTAGCCATTTTCATAATAAGTTACTCTTAACAGCAAAACTACTAGGCCAGAATAGATCATTAGCAGGTGAAAGCAAAAGCTGAAAACTTCCATTACAAAGACTTCTTTTCCCATCCTCCCCCCACCATGCATAAATAACTGGCACTGCAATATGGAGAAATTAAGAAACAGTATCACAAAATATAGGTTGTCCTAATTCATTGAATTGTTTTGCAATCTGAATATGGCCTGATGCAGAGGAGGTACCTGACATCTCTTATCATCAGTGACTAAATTCAGCCACCACTATTCCATGGGCTTCTCTTGAGAGTGGTGTTACCACCTGGAAAGCAAAAAGCCAGCACACATTTTGGCTGCCCATCAAACCACTTACAACATTAAATGCAGATGATAGTGTTTTTCTAATCAGAAGGCATCCCATAAACATATCTAAGCAGAGAAGAAAGTTAACTGATGCTTAAAAGCAGCATACTTAGGTTATGTTACAGTTTCAGAAACTCCAAACTGACAAGACATAGCATTCAAGACATAGCAAGCAAGACTTGATGTTGCAATGTGGAAATTCAGTGATCTCAAAATGTGCTTTTCTCATCCCAGAAGTTACCTCCAGGACCCCAATTTTTCAGTTCGAGTTCTCAAAGCAAAACTGCATGTTCTAGTGTACTCTCTAGTGTGACTTACTGCCAGCTAGTTTGAACCAACTAGTTCCAACTCTTAGGCTGTTTCATTTGAATTCAGACTATACAAAAGAGCTCATTACAAACCTATTAGTTGAACGTTCCACATGTCTCTTTCTTGAGCAACAAGAATATGCGAGAATTTTAAACATGTCTGTGAAGGCACTACCATCAGGTGGTTTTGTGATGAAGAAACTCTGACCACATAAGAAAACCATGAATGAAATCCCAATGCAAACGGTTGGGATACTATATCCAATAACAAAGCTCACATTCTGTTGAATGTATGCAATGCCTCCCAGAGAGAGAATAGCTCCCAAATTAATGCTCCAATAAAACCAATTAAAAAATCTTCTTGTGGCTTCTGGGCCCCGATCTTTGACCTGGAAGAAATTAAAAACAAGTCATTCAATTTCTGAAGAAAATGAAGCCTGTTTATTAGAAGTCAATCAAGTTCAATGCACTGAAGAGTTTAGGTTTAATTTAAAGTGGTACTAAAATGATTTAAGTGTTTTGGCCTCAGCATGGTATTTGATGAAATGACATCTTACTGAGCCACCCCATTATATCAGTGACCTTCTAGAAGTTCAGCATAGGGAGAGAAAAGTCATACAATACTAAACTACATAGTTTTCCCATACAGGCTGTTGTTATTTCTACAGCACTGTCTCTCATTTGGTCATTTCTCTAGACAAACTCACTCAGGTTAGTGTCTCATAGTCCACACAGAAGTTGAAATAACTAATTTTTTAGTAAAAAAAGGTAAGCTACCTATAAGTTCATGTATTAGTAGTATCACAACACCTCCTTCTTCCAATTGTATACATGTAACACTTAACCATATTCCATCTTCTAAGCCTCAGGTGACTAGGTGGTAATTAAAGCACAAATTTAAATTTTAACACAGTCCTAATGCCTCTTATCAGAACATAAACTGAAGACTTGCCATTCTAATGTTTAAAAAAAAATGAATAAATTGGGGGTACCCGATGTTTCTCAAGGCCCCAGTAAACATTTATCCCTCTATTAAGTCAGCACCATTCATAGTGCTATTTTTCTGCTTGAAGCTCTCAGTGTCTCCCCAGTGAAGACATCCTTGGTTTATAGAATTATCCTGTACAGTTTTCACCATCACTCTTTATTGCCTACCATTAGTCACCCCATGTTTTGTAATTAAGTCACAGGAACCAAGCATCACTCATAAGATGTGATGTTAAAAAAATTATGCAAGTTAAAATTTGAAACACATTAAAAAGATCAACTAGTCTGTAGAGGAATCCATAATACCGTACTTGTCAATGTTTTATGACTGAGAGGCCATTAAGAGTGACTGGGAAGTCAGGGCCATGCACCAGTCTTGCCGAGTCAGTTGTTTTTTATTTCTAATTGCAAGTTTTCTTTCCCCGTTTGCCAGATCTTCAACAGATCCGTGTTTAGTTTGCAATGTGAAAAGCAAGCCATATCTTGAAATAAGTTTTTAACATTGTCAGTTCTGATTTACAGCTTCAGGTTTCTCAGTGGTGTAAAAACCCATCCATATCATTTAACCAAGCCTAACCAAAGAAATTAACTATTCCTGTGCATAGTTAATAGCATTGTTAGGCATTCAGGTAGGTCTGGTAGCACATCAAATACAATCTTGGAGCCAAAACCCAAGAAATTCTCCATTTCCAGTTACAACTTGGTACTCATTTCCTAATTTTAACAGTCATCACCTGCAGTAGTGTATCAAGCTAGGAATTCCTTCTAAATGGCAGCAGGATATTAGCCAACAATTATATTCTAAGCGCAGTGCTCCAACCTATTTAAAGAGTTCATAATCTATTTTATGAAGTTTCCATTTCTTCATCATAAAGACCCAGTTCTCTTATACTTTCTGCAAGGAAGATGACTTCCCATCCTCCCTCTTACAAATGACTTTGCTCACGTCTATGCAAAGAAAAGCTGGGAGATGAAAGCAAACTTTGATAAAGGTAAGAACAGAGAAAGCACAGCATGATGCTTCTATCAAGTATTATCCCAGCCTCCAACCACTAGCTCCTGAGAAACTTCCTGAACCTAGGATGGCTTCTAACTACTTCATAACCACAGCATAACTCCTCTCCGTGAACTTGTCCAGCCTGCCTCTGAACCCAGGTCAGCTTTTAGAATCCATAATATCCTGTGGCAAAGAGTTCCCCAGATAATTACACAGTGGGAAGAACCATCTCCATTTGTCTATTTTGAACCTGCCCTGCACTAGCCTCACTCATTTTACCTAGGTCCAGGAAACAACAGAAGGCAGCTGAGCTTTATCCCTCCCTGTTCCATTTCTGCCTCTCTACCCATTATTTCCACAAACCACTGTCAGATCTTCCTTCTACCTGCTTTTTCTGAGATAGGACGTTGTAGGCTGTTTCATGATTTCCTTGCATAGAAACTACTATGTCTGTGGCTCTTCCCTGAAACTTCCTTCCCCACCTCCAGTATCCTTTTTGAAACAGAGTGACCAAAAAGGAATGCAATGCTTAAGAGACAGCCACGCCACACACTTAAAATGAAAATAATCCATTTTCTATTCCTTATCAAAGTATATATATGCACTAAAAATCACATCCCAGCCATGTCTGAAATGCACTATGGCATTTTATTAACAAACATTAATAACTTCCAGTACCTGAAGGGGGCCTATAGGAGAGATGGGGAGGGACTCTTTATCAGGGAATGTAGTGATAGGATGAGGGGTAATGCTATTAAATTGAAAGAGAGGAGATTTAGATTAGATACAAGAAAGAAATTCTTTACTGTGAGGGTGGTGAGACACTGGAACAGGTTGCCTAGAGAAGTTGTGGATGCCCCATCCCTGGAAGTGTTCAAGACCAGGCTGGAGGGGGTTTGAGCAACCTGGTCTGGTGGGAGGTGTCCCCGCCCATGGCAGGGAGTTGGAACTCAATGATCTTTAAGGTCCCTTCCAACTCTAACCATTCTATGATTATATGAACTTAAAAATCATATTGAACTAGCTGGTAGAATACCTTGACAAAGTAGAAGAAGTATGAAGATGCAGTGTCTTATCAAAACCAGAAAACATGGTAGACTGAAAAGGCAATCCTTGTAGTTCCTTTCAAACATCAAATTGGTTGCCCAAAATATTAGCTTTATAACATTTACAGCAGACTACTCAAAGTTTCCCGTGCTGACTATTACTTGAGCTGTGTGACAGCACAAAATAGATTGGTTCATTCTCTTCATAAGTGGATACTACATTTTAATAAGGGACTAAGAAGAAGAAAACCATGTTAGAATTTTATTATTTTACTTTTATCAAGGACAATTATTTTTCACAAAACTGCAGGAATTCTCCTTTTCCCCCTTATGTTTGCATTATTTTCAGTCACCCAAGCAGAAAGAAAAATCTATCACTCCCTCTGCTCAATTTCATCTGTGCTCAAGCACAGCAGCACTCTCCTTGTGGTACCAGCACCACCAACTTCATTATATTCTTAGCATCCCACCGTGAACTGCAGCAGGAAAATGATGCACGTAAATGGCACAAGTATGGTGTGGGTCCTGGATCGAATCTGTCCTGTGATCTAAGGGTCCCACATCCCTGCACTAAAAGTCAAAATAACTATGTTTAAAAGATTTTGTCCCCATCTCAACAAAACAGCTTAAAAACAGTAGTAGTGCCTAAAAAGGTATGAAAAATGTCACCTTAAATTCACCATGTTCCTCTTTTAAACTATAGGGAAAAATTAAAAAAAAACCCACACAAAACCCAAACCAACAATTCCAAACCTCCCCTCGAAAAAATAAACAAAAACCCACATCAAAAATCCCCACCAACAGAGAAATTTAGGAAATGAGCGATTCTAAACCTTCTGGCCACAGCTGCTCTGTCGGTCATTGGCCACGCCAATGCTGCTGGCATTCAGGTGGGCCTCTAAAGAGGAAATAAAATAAACTTGCTCCTTTCAAGACATCTAACATAACTTTTGCAAAAGAAAATCTAACCTAACACGTGCTTTTTCTACAGTCCAAAAGGTGTTTTCTTGATATATCTGACACCTATCTTTTACGTATAGTTAATGCAAATGCAGAAGGAAAAGCAGTGACATTCTGAGTTTTGTAACTGGAACCTACAGTAAAGAAATAGTTCTCAAAATCAAAATTTCTAATACAAAACACATATCAGACTGATTATGGTCAGATAAGATGTAACTACGACCACAGTTTTCATGATAAAGAATCCTAAGTGCCCGGAACATTATGTTATGAGAATTGTGTAATCATTAGGTTATTTACAGCCACTTTCAGCAGAGGACACACCAGCTGTGTAACTGCACTGCAATTCCCTAAACTCATTTAGGATATAAGGTTAACATCTTACGATCAGAACACAATTTTAAACACAACTGAAACAAAGAAAGAGAGAAAGAGTAACTAGATCCTTGGTTACAACATCTTATGAAAAGTCATTAGAAATACCTCAGCGACAGCAACTTCCACAGCACAGCTGTCCCTAAGGTTAATACTTAGGCTTCCTGTCTCAGAAGAAAGATGATCACTTGTGGAATTATCCCTCCCCTGGATTTTTCAATACCAACATCTTTCTTAGGAGATCCAGGTACTAACCAAAGTGGTTCATACAGCTTGAAACCAAAAATATTACATAGCTCAAGTATTAAGAATCTATTAGATTCTCCTGATTTTTAGGTAAAGAGCCAGGAATCTGTAAAAGCATCACTGCTTCTCCATAGCTCCTGTGTTTAGATGTTTTGCTTTGTCACAAAGTAATTCCCTAGCTCTCTACAGCTACGTCAGTTTCAAAGAAATGGTTATGCACACGATTTCTTATTTTTGCCACAGCTAATGCCTATATAGTGCCTAGCATTCCACTGACATCTGATTTCTGACATCATCTGCTCGTGATCTCAAGTATTTCCTAAACCCCAACGTTTCAGAGTTCCAGTATGTCATAGTCTTCCCTCTCTCCCTCTTCACATCATGACTGATCCAAAGCTATGACCTCCTATTTGACTCACATAAAAGGAAAAAGAAGATTATTTAGAAGTTACTGACATTAGCAGTTTTCATTTGTTTCTGCAATCAACTGACAGTCACAAGTGACGAATGCAACAAAAAACCCCAAACTTATCCCAGCCAACTATGTGAACAGCCACACAACAGAGCAAGGATGAAAATGTAGAAGCTTGCCCTTCTTAGCCTACAATAGAAAGCGCAATGACAACAGTTTTCTGTAGTCAAATTTATGCCTACAGGATTCTGACCTTCTAATCCATCAGTACAGACACCAGCTATTCTTTGAGAGCATCTGGAGAGAGCTCAGTAACAGAGCTATACAGCACTACTTAGTTGCCACATAATTTCAAATTTTTATACTAAAATGTGGCCAAACCACATTTCAAATCCTCTCACTGGTGTTCTACCTGTTCTCTTTCTGTCGGAAACAGAAACAACTAGTACTGCTGATGTGAATGCCATAACTTCAGTTTTCAAACTGTTATCTGCAGAGTCTTAGACGTCCACAGTCTCCTGAGAAGTTCAACAACAAAGTAACTTGCAGCTAGTTAATGACTTTCAATTCTTTATACGTGGTCCCCCATCTTTCCCCAGAGGCTGGAAAATCAAGGTTCTACAAATAAATAAATAAGATTGAAAATAACTCTAAAGCCACCTTTACACCAGCAATTTCCAATAGTGTCCTGCCTCTGGTGATCCTACAGTAACAACAATGGTTTTAACAAAGCTAGAACATTTTTGGCAGGTTACGGACAGATAAATTTAATGACTCTGATGGCAATTCAGAAAGATATACTGTGGGTTAAAACTAGTATCTCTAATCACCATAACCCCAAAACAGATTAATCTATGATTAGAACAATGATTAGAGCTGATACTAAATCTAGTCTAGATTAGCACTAGATACTAGTCAACTACTAATGTTGCCTTCAATGTTGAAGCTAAACAAACTTTCACAATAATTAGGGATAGTCATATTCTTTCCTAACTGCAGAAAGTCACAAACTGCTACACAGAACAGGAAGTGACTGCAAAACACTCGCACTTGAAAGGGGAACTGGAAAGTGCCAGGTTATACATATCACATGATTATAAACACTATTCTGAGAACCATCAGTTCAGATTTAGACCTCTATGATGCATCAATCTGCAACTTCTAGAAAAACACATATAAACACAGTTAATTAAAGCTGGTCTATACCTAGTTTGCAGTAACTGGTTTTTGCTAAGCTGACTGGCAAAAGTTACTCTATACTGCGTCTACTTAGTCACTTGTAACAGCACTTCTAAAAGCATCAATTTAACAGAAATTAAGAAACTACATCCTTTTTAACTTCTGAGGAAAATAAGTATTAGAATTTAGTTTCCAATTTTCCACAAAGTGATTCTTTTCTTCTAAATAACCCCCCCCTCATTGTTATTTGGTTCTCCACCCAAATTGTAGATCATGTGTTAAAACTGAAAAATCTACATGGTAATTTTTAAGAGATCTGCAATGAAATGTAATAAACAATATCTGAAAGGTGGTTCATGTCAGCTAAAGTGCATGATATACAAGTTGTATTTTCCTTTGTTTGGTATCCAAGGGAAAGAGGACAAATCTTATCAGCACACATCCAGCCAAAACATGTTTGCATTGTATTCTAGCCTCCAAAAAATGAGACTCTGGGAGACAGACTTTATTCTCAGCAATATATATCCATCTACCCGGCAGTTTGCTACATTCCTATGCAGGGAGAAAGCACCCAAGAGGGCCCAAAACTGCACAACAAGGTAAGTGGTATGCTGTAATATGTTTAACAATAGATAAGGCAGAAAAACAGAGAAAGGGAAAAATTCAGTCCTCAGCAGAGCTCTGCTGATTATTATGAACCAGAAAGCAGTGTTTCTTTTGCTTCACCCTACATAAATCACTGTGAATTATCTGCAAGCCTAGCCAAAAAACTGCTTTCCATGAAATCCTGGGGGGAAGACCTTTGAAAATCCAGCTACAACAGCTACACTTCCATTGGCAATGGTTATTCTTTTGCTCTGCTCCTGCCATTATTTATCTCTTACATTTAATGTTCATAAAGTGTTCTGGGGATAAGCAGTCAGTTTTGAAAAACACCTTACAAGATAAAGTCATATTAAAGCTATTTCACCTGATGGGCTCATGCTGGCTTAAATAGAACCAATACACTGGAGACGCACAATCCTAGGCTAGAATAATGTTTTACATTTATATACTGCCTTTCACCCAGAACTCCAGAATTTATAATATATGAAATGCCAAAGAATGACAAATGTAAACCGCACAACAGAGAACAGATGTATGATTGGCAAAGATATTGTGGTAGATCCTACCTCTCACAAAGAATTTCATGGCATTTCTGATACCTGCACTAACCAGAACTCAATGGGCCAGTACACAGACATGCTACTGGCTCAGAGATATTTTCCTCGCGTTGTCACCAAGATCACTTTAGTTAGAAAAGCTGCCCGGTATCTAATCAGCTGAAATTCTCAATTTGTAAAGCAGAAATGATATAATTCAACATCCGCAGTCAGCATACTAACTTAGTGTAAGACTGTAAAAAAATACATGCAACAGCGCATTCCAGTTGATATTGAACTATGAGCTCTCTCTCAAATATTTTCTGTAAAGCCACTTCGTTCTGCAATGATGATCCAATGAATGATATCACTGAAGTGGATCTGAGTAAGGTCACTTGACAGGACATGTCCTGATGATAACAGCCCAGGTAATATGTTTACCATGTTGAGAGCACCTTCCTACCCATCATCCAATGCAACATTGGCCTGCACAAAAACATCACTCAAAGGAACAGTGTAGTACACAGCGAATACCTAAAACATAAAAACCTATTTGTTCTCTATCCTTCATTTATCACAGGGTTATAAAGACCTCTGACCACAGTCCTAGAAGGACCGTGCTATCTTTGACAAAGCTAAATGTGTATCAGATATTTCACCTGATGAGCTCTGAGGTCAAATTAACTGCATACAAACTCCACAATGGAAGGTAATTAACAATCACTTAGCGTCTATTAAATATTCAACCCAACTTCTCGAGATGGTGATGGCTTAGCCACATCGGGTACCACACCTAAGGCAGGGCTACTAGGAAACCAAGGATTTTAAGAGATCAGACATGACACAGACACCAAAATTATATCAGAGTACAACTTAACAGCTTGCATTACACAGGCAACAAAGCCGGATGATCTGATTCCGAGACTTAACACCTACAGAGATGTGAATCAGTAGGTGCACTGTCCATCCCACCAAAGCAAGCCCCTCTGCGTGACTGACAGCCATCCCCTGGTTCAAATCAACACCCACAAACGATTTGGCAGCTGCCAAATAATACTTGACCTGATCTGCCCCAAAAGGGGTGATGTTAGCCTTGACCGACCCGACGCCCAGCCCCACGAGGACCAGTCCAACGAAGGTGGCGGTGGCACAGTAGCGGATGGCTCCCACCTGGGAGCAAGGTGCCATAGTGGTGTTGGCCACCGGAGAGGAGCAGTTCTCTACAGGGAACAAGGGGATGTCCCCGCAGAGGCCCTGGCGGGTGTGCGGCGCAGCGATGACAGGGAAGGCCAGCATGCCCAGCAGGTAGAGTGCCATGCTGAGCAGGATGGTGCCAAACTTGCCCAGGAGGGCATCAGCCAACCAGCCGCCGAAAGGTGACACCAGGTAGGTGATGCCCATGAAAAGCAGCAGGGCCTGGCTGGCCTGGGCACCCTCCCAGCCATAGGGAGGCCCGTTGAGGAAGAGCACCAGGTTGGAGGTGATGCCGTAGAAGGCCACTCGCTCCAGCAGCTCGGCCAGCAGCACGGCAGCGCAGGCCAGCCGCCGCCCGTGGAAAGCGTTGCTGGCTGCCCTCCCGCGCTCTACGCTGCTCAGCAAAGGGCTGCGCTCGCTCGGCTCGGCCTCCTCCATGGCGGTGCCTCCTTCCCGGCCCGCCCTGAGGAAACTTGCCCGCGGTCGGGCGGCGGGGCCCGGTCCGGCCCGGCCCGCCCACTCGGGGGACGGCGCCTCACCATTGGCTGAGGCCGCCGTCGCTCCGCCGTCATGTGGGCTGCTGGGCTACAAGCGAGCGGCGGCTGAGGCGGGGCGGGGCGCTGCGGACCGGAAGCGGTGGGGTGGGTCCGCGCGGAGCTACCGGCTGTGAGGGGATCCTGAGGAGGGCCGGCCGCGGGGCGTCTCCTCAGCGCCGGGGCCGAGCCGTGAGTGGGTTACACGTCCCGGTGTGTGGAGCTTTAACCGGGGAAGGGAGGCGGCAGGTTTCCCCCGCGGGTTTTCCCTCGCGGAGTCCACGAGGGTGCCAGGCGGGGTAAAGGGGGCGGGAGAGGAGCCTGCAGTAGGGAAAGTGGTTATTTCGTGCGTTACTTCAGGCTGGGAGTTACAGCTCGGGTATTAACTGGAGCTGTGCGACTTTATGAACCACACGGGTTCAGCGTGGCTTCCGTGAGAGCCCTCCCTTTCCCCTTAGGTTTATTCAGCAATAACAGCGAAATTAAAGTGTGATTTGTTTCCCTTCTTTGCTTCTCAGTCGGAAAAGCAAAAGCGAGGACTGTGCCTGTCAAATGCCCACTCTGCAGAAAAACACGGGGGTGTGGGGTGACTCTGTGTGTGGGTGTCACCCAGCCCCTGGTACAGGCAGCGGGCAGGCCTGGGGGCTGCACCGTCACCCACCCGGGTGGGAGAGAGAGCGCGGCTGGATGGGTGCTGCTTGGGGTGGGGTTGGTCGCTCTGAGGGGTCCCTGCAGTGACAATGCCTCACCAGTGCCTGTGGGGAGTGAAGGCTCTGATTTGAGTGGGACAAAGTGCACGATTAAAATGAGGAAGCACACATGAGTGGTTGCAGGTTTGGAGCCCTAAGATGTTCTTTTGTTCCACCATCAGGTAAAGGTTGTGGACAGTATGGAATTGCCTTCAACAACAGATCTCAAAGTCATATTTTTTGGCCAGAACAAAGTGGGAAAGATACTTCTGGTTGTGTGTTTTCAATGGAAAAGGTAAATTGGTTGACATCATATGGTTACACCCAACGTTCAGGTATGACTTAAAATTTTTGGAACAGCGTTGGTAATTGAGCATGTGATGCTTGTAAAAGTAAATACATCTATTTAATAATGGGCCTTTGTAAATAACATGTGCCATAAAAATGACTCGTTAAATGTATTTGCTCTCCTAACTAGTTACATTTCATGGCAAAGGACAATGAGGAAAAAGCAACTAGCTGTACAGAGATCTCTTTGTGAACTACTGTAACATGACTCTTTCTGTAATTTAAAAAATTACATTTCAGCTTTGCCCAGCTTAATACAGTATATCATATCAGTTGTGATTACATTTCCTAAGGGGGTTAGTAGTATTTGCTAGAGACTACAAAGTAATTAACCACACTGTGTTATTGTGTGTTTTAATATATGTGGATATCACATTCTGGGCCCTTCAAAACTTACCTTTGTGAGTGGGGTGAGATTTTTACATTGGCCCACCCAGCAACTGTTACCAACACCTAGCAATGCTGAATAGTATCTGAAATGTACGTTATAAAATGTTAATTCAGTCTTCAGGTATTGAGAAGTAGGTACTCTCACTAAAATTCGAAAGCTACTGTTATAAGCCTAACATTCTTTCTGGAAGAATAGCAGTTTCAGGAAGGTGATTTTTAAAATTTTCCTCCAAAAGAACACTTAGCTACACTATATTTAAAACTTCTTCATTAAGATACACCAATGACCCTTTCTTTGGATACAATGAATGCACCTGTGTCTATACAGTGATACAATTGTGCATGTATGTGTTTTCAAAGACACAACACTGCTTGATGCTGCAAAGACTTCTAGATTTTTTTATTTTTTCAGTCAAGGCCTATAAAGCACAAAATCCAGAGTTACCATAAATAGCAATAAAATGTTAAGACGTCTCTGAATGTTTCCTTTGTCTCATCTTTATTTCCCAGATGACTGGTTAAGTTTTCTTATTTGTCTCATGGAGCAGGCCTTGTCTTACTTTGATGTTTGCATTTTTGTCTTTTTTGTGTGATACACTAAATGTGCTGGATAGCTGTTGTCTGGTTTTAGAGCTAGCAGCGGTGAAAAATTACAACAGCCGAGTTATTTGTAATTAGGTATCTCATGCAGATACCAAAACTGCGGCTTCCTTTTAGCCAAAAACATGACTTTCTGAACATCGTCATGTATCCTGCTTTAGGCTGCGCACCTGGGGAATGTCCCTGTTTTGGATTTGGAGGCTGTTTTAGGTACAGGGCTGCAGCAACAGGGCGGGCGAGGCCTGTTTTTTGGTTGGCTCACACGCTGCCAGCCTTTCTTGGTGCAATGCAGCTGGATGAGCTGTGTGCAGGAGGGCTTGGAACCAGCAGGAGGGTCTGTTGGGAATGGATGTAGAGTAGCAATGTGTCAGGAAACTGAAAGGCAGCTGCATAAGGTTCTGTGGCAGGACTGTTAGACTGACAGCTGGGCAGCAGTGACTAACGGAGGTGACTGGTGCTTGGTTTGAGGGTGGTAAGCGCTCTCAAAAGCCAAAATATGCTTCATATAGGCCACTTACAGTGAAACAAACTTCGAGGCTGAATTCAGATTGACAAAAGCCCTCTAAATTTCAATGAGGCTGGGATTTCATGCCAGAAACACTTTCTAAAATGATGATGAAAACAGCTTGGTCCTTCCTACCCTTAAATTAGCATTTATGCTATTTTTAGAGTTTGTGCAAGATTTATTGCTCTTCTAAGTTGTAGCCATCTTTTTGAGTTTGGATGGAGTTTAAGATGGTCTGAACAACATGCTGAATTATTTCTAAGTGATGACTTGGTGAGATGCAGGCAGTTGAACATAGCTCTGCAGCCTGAAGACCCATTAGCAAAACGTGAACCAGTGTACCGAAATGCTTACAATTTGCCAGAATATGCTCCAATATATATCTTTATCACTTCTAAACCTTCAATTCCTGAATACATGTCATCCTCAGAGATCCACATAAGCTATTTGAAGAACTACTGTTTTAAAAATTACTGAATTTAAGAGCCTTTCTCTGTATGTGGCATATTTTTCCCCCTGCCTGACACTGAGACTTGAAGAGTAATTTAAGCCATGATAAACAGGCACTGCAGTTTACAGACCATCTTTCCCTGTCTTCTACAATCTTGGGGAAACATAAGCTTCCGTGAGGCCCTGTGGTGAATTACATCAGGGAACCAGACCAGTATACAATATACTTAAAAAGCAATATACTTTGCTTATGAGTATACAAGCAAAGAAGTGAGTTTTCTGTTAGATCAAGCTCTCCTTCTCATCTGTCTCATGGCCACAAAAGTCCTGCATGTGTTCTCGATGTTTTCAGAAATGTTGAATCAACTTCAAGGCCGTGGATATCTGCAGTCAGCCACCTGGCCCCTATCAATCTCCCAACAGACTCCCTAAACTGGCCACTCAGCTTTACTGCCTGCTGCCCCACCCATCTGATCTTAGCTGCTCATGGTGTTCCTGATTATAATTGGGGTTTATCCTGAGCTCTGGCTTGGTAGTTTGGGATACAGTTTTCTTAGCCCTGAGTTTGGATTCTTCCTTTTTTTTTTTTTTTTTTTTTCCCGGACAAAGTTTTCTAATGATCATGTTTGGCCTTGTACGTCCTCCCACCTGTTCGCTTGTAAAACTCCTGCCAAAAAAACTGTTTTGTTTTTTTTTTTTTTTTTTTTTTTTTTTTCCCCTGCTTTGTTGTGTCTTTGGGTTCTGCCTGCTGCTGTGGAGGCTTTGGTGCTTCACCAGAGCTTTTGCCTGCTCTTACACACCTTTGGCTCTGTTTCATGATATTTAGTGTGGTCTTTGACCGTACTGTTGCCTTGTTCTTTGGACTAGCACATTCCTCTGGTTCTTCTGGTTGTTGGCATCTTATCCGCAATTAGTTTTTTCTCCATTCCTGCACTGATTATGAATGACCTCCATCTTGGGAGACACATGGTGGACCACGGTGCAGCTGAAGAACTGCCTCAGGAGATGGTAGCCGACGACGGCTTTCCCCTGATGCTCTTCTCCTAGGCCATCCTTTGAGCACGCCGTCTTTGTGGCTGCTTGAAGGAAACAAATCGCGCTATTTCGCGGCGGGGGGAAGGGACCCACACCTGCTGGCACAACACCGGTGGCTTTACTCTGTAATTAAGTGCCCTCTGATCAGAAACACCTGGCAAGGGCGCGACCCTCCCCTGACCCCACAGGCCCTGCCGCCCTTCGGGCTGCGCTCAGCCCTCGCGGGGCCCGGCGGGGTGGGCCCTCCCGGGGCGGCGGCAGGTGGCGGGCCCGCTCCTCCCGCGCCGCCCTTTCCGGGAGGCGGCGGGGCCGCGCCCGGGCCGCCGGGCAGGTGAAGGAGGCGGCGGCGGCGGCGCTGCCCCTCACTGAGGTGACAGGAGGGGCCGCTATGAGGCTGCTCTTGCTGGCGTGCCTCCGAGCGCAGACCGGCAACGCGACCACCGCCGCCAGGATACAGTGAGTGGCCCCCGACCCCCTCCCGCTTTATGCCGCGGCATCCTCGCCTCACCGGCGGGGAGGCGGGACCGGCCTCCCTCTCCCCTCACGCCGAGGCCGCCGCAGCCCTCCCCGGCGGGCAGAGGGGGCTCGGCGGTGGGGCCGGTGCCGCGGGGATGGGAGAGGGTTTGGCGGGGGGCCGTCCGCCATTCACTGCCCCCGCCGGCGCACGGAGGCGGTGTCGCTGCCGCCGCAGCAGCCGCGTGGATGGCCGGCGCTGGGGGTGTGTGAGGGGACGGCGGCCGAGCGCCGAGACGGGCCCTCCCTGACAGAGCCGGGGCGGGGGGGATCCGCCGCTTGCCGGGAGGCCGGGGCCTGCTGGCTGTGGTGGGGCCGAGCCCGTGTCGGGGAGGGGGGTAACCCGCTGGCAACGTGTCCCCCTTCCTCCGTGCTGCTGGGGAGCAGGGGAACCCCCAGAGCGAGATGAGGGGAGGATGCGGAGAGCAGCGGGCGCAGGCAGGTCCGCGGTGAGGAGCCGTCCCCGTAACCCGGAGCGGGCACCCTTGCCGTGGGAGTGCCAGATGCAGCTCTCCCGGGCATTATGAGTCGGTGGGGCTTTGAAACTGTTTGGACAAACCGAACTGCGTCAACGCATAATATTCTTAATGTCCCCATTTAACTTTTTCGATGAAACGTGGAAAAAGGATGTGGCTGACAGCATCGCTGAGGGCCTGGCTGTGCGTGTGAGCTCTGTTTAGAAAAAAAAAAAAAAAGTAACTGTAAAAATGAAACAATTTCTTGATGTGTTTGTCCTCTTGAGGCCCAAAATGAGGACTTGGTTGCTTCTTACCCATCAGAGTCATCCACAGTTTAGGTTGTTTCTTATGATTGATCTCTTCTGCTATTAAAAGTTTTCCCTGACCTTGATCTGCATATTATATGTTATACATAGAAATAGTCCTCTGACATTGTTTAAGTTTTCACACTACTCGTGTCATACCAAGTTCAGCCTCAGATTTGTGCAGGGCGACCGTATTGTGTATGAGGCAATGGTGGAACATACCTGCTGCCTCGTGTCAGTCACCCAGGCACTGAAGATGTAAAGCAAATAGAGCATAAAGATCAGAGAAAGCTGAAGTTTTCTGTGTTTTAAAAGAATATATATTGATAAAATGTTGAGATAAATGTGTTCTTATGTTTTTAATACAGATTTTTTTACCTGCACATGTCAGCACAGAGGTCATGTGTGGTGGTTTGTGTGGCATTCTGCATTTACTTTAATCTTTAATTTTTAGCTCTCACTGGATAATACAAACCTACTTATTCTTGGGGATGTCTATGCTTATTCTTCCTCCATAAAATTATTTCTTCTACCTTTACAAATTAAATATTCACTTACCTTCATCTTCCATGTCAAAATGAGGGAAGTCAGACAAATATTTAGACTGTGGAGTCATGCAGAGGTAATCCAGTGGAAAGCTGGTTTTGCATTATTTCTAGTTAAACTAAGCCTGAATAAGCTAGACAAACAA